TTGGAGCAGAGCCGAGAAAGAAGTCACCCAGTAATCGAGGCCTCCGCCCAGCAGGCAAAGGGTGCTGCTAGAAACAGAGATCGGGGAGCATGACGCTGTGAAGAGCGCCGCCAGTCTTCGCTCGCGAGGCCACAGAAGTCGAGGGGTCTAGTCGAAGCTCTCTCGGAGCCGCTGGTTGCGTTGAGCGCCGATCTGCGAGCGACTCCGAGGGGCGCCGCATACAAAGCGCTCAAGATCGCCGCCGTCATCGCCTCGCACTACGTCGGCGTTGACCTCCAAGCCATCAGCGATGGCTACGTCCTGCCTGATGATGACGAGGAGGCCGACGAGGCGGTGATGAAGCTGATGGAGGTGGCGGAGGGTCTCGGCGCGGCGCTGGCTGGGCTGTTCGAAGAGGAGGTTGTCCCTCCTCCGCCGTCTGCCGATGCTGGAGGCCCTACGCCGTGACCTGGGCCCAAGAGGCCGTGTAATTAGATTAGGGATTATGTTGTCCTATCATAACGTTGGCGGCTGTTGAGGCCTTTTTAAAGTGATCGTGCGCCGATGCTTTTTCAATCGTTTTTCCTTATTGTATTTCCGAGCCTCTGCCCTCTCTGTCTTGTTTCTGAACGTATCTCTTGTGAAAAACTTCCTTGGAGCCTAAGTTGCCCCTTGGGCAGAAGGTGGTGAGGGAGTGCCGTAGCCCGGAGGCGTAGGCCATCTTGCAACTCAGCCGGCCTTCTGACCTTGAGACAGTCTTTTGGTCCTTAGGTTCTTTCACAATCGATTTGTCAGAACGCGCTAGAGAGTTCGGCGTAGGAATTTTTTCAAAAAACGACTTAAGAACAGTGCGTGGGACTTAGGGTTTCGAAAATCGACTTAAGAACAGTGCGTGGGACTTGGGGGGGGGGGGAGTCCCTCCTTCTAGCCCCCCGAGGGAGGCTTGGTTCTGCAAAGGCAGAGCAGAGCCTTCCTCGTGATGTTATCGTAATGCCGAGCCCCATGATGGGCTCGGCGGGTTTTTAGAAAATTTAGAACAACTAAAGAACGCCTCTTAATTATATTCCACGAAACAGTTTGTACAATGCTTGGAAATTCTAAGGGTAGAAACGACGTAGCTGTTCTATGTTCCAAGCGTTGGTGAAGATTTCGCCCTTCTCGTAGGCTAGCTTGTAGGTCCCGTGCTTTAGTACTTGGGTGGGCCACCGACTTCCAAGTCGTCGATGAGGTCACTGGCCTTCCTGGACTTGTCCTTGATGTCGTCCACGCTGGCCTCGACGGTTCGCCCGATGTGCTCGCCCAAGACCTGGGTGGTGCACCGCTGGTACATGACCCCTGCATTTCTGAGACTGAATGGCATAGTCACATAGCAGCACATGTCGAATGGGGTGATGAAAGAAATCGGCTCCTCAGGAGGTGGCGGGGCAGAGCTTGATGGCAGGACGTTGTTCCGTGCCACCGGCGTCTTTCCCCTGCCTAGGCTTAAGCTAGACAGGTCCCCAACCAGGGACTCTGTACCAACAGCCGGGCATGGGATACCGACGGGGCGTCGCCGCCAAGATGCCATGGCGTTTTCACCCATGTCCAGCTCGAGCAAGTCAGTCCCCAACCAGGGACCTTGTGCCAACAACTGGACATGGGGTGCCGGCAGAACGCGGTGCGCCACCATGAGCTCGCGCGGTGTCGGGGTGGTCCTGCCCGCGTTGCGCCTGGCGAGCGTGACGAGAGCGGCGGCTCGGGCGCCGCCCGCGCCTGGGCTGCTGGTGCGTGATGTCGCCGTCGGTTGATGGGGCTCTAGGTGGGAGGAGTACCATGTCGTACTTGTATCTAGAGACATGAACTCTAAGCTCCCGAACCAGATCATCGTGCCGAGATGTAGTGGTCGTATGGGGTCTGCCATCCGGAACTTGTTGGGATGATTAAGCTAACACGTAGTAGCCCCTACCTGGCGCGCCAACTGTCGGTGTTTCGGACCGGGGGTCCTCAACCAACCAGTAAATGTGAACTACGTGCCCCTAGTCCCGGATGGTGATGCAAAGAGACACAAGGTTTATACTGGTTCAGGCAATCGGCGCCCTACGTCCAGTCTAGGAGATCAATCTTGTATTCCTTGCACCGAAGTGCTTGTAGTAGGGGGTTACAAGCTGGATGAGAGAGGGAGCTAGTCCCAGGTCTCGGCGTGGAGTGGTACGGGCTGCTTGAGTCGTTGCTCTCAGGCAGCGTGGGAGCGCGCGTGAATTGAGTGAGTGCATTTTTGCGTGAGGGCTGGCGTGGTTTTTTCCGATCCCTAGAAACGGCCCTGGCTGCTTCCTTTTATAACCACAAGGAGGGAGCCAGGAGTACATGAGAGAGCTACACGTGGAGTCTTAGCGAGAAAGGAAGATCCAAAGATCTTGTGACCTATTCCTGTAGCAACACAATGTCGGGAATGGTAATTGGTACTTGATCACCGGTGCGCCACGCAGCCATGCCCGAGGTCATTTGAAGTCGTAAGGGTCCTTGTTGACGTCTAGTCAGTATGGCCTCCACTGTAGGTGACATGCTGTGCCTGGTGGAGTGTCGAGGCCTAGCTGGTGCTTTGGAGTTGATCGTCTTCGAGGCCTTCTTTGCCAAGGCCTCGGAGGTGACCTGTGTCTGACGCAGGGTCTCTCGGTGGTCTGTCGCATCCGATTCCGGTGAAAAAGTGCGGAATGGGCGTCCCGCAGGGAGCCGTAGTCTCTGCACCGTCGATGGGGATGGTAAAAGGTGATTTGACCGCCGTCCCCCATCGCCTTTTTGCCATACCGCCAATCGTGGTGACGTGGGCGTAACTAGGGATACTTACACGGATGGGATGGCCCGCCAGAGGGGCAATTGAGGCGAGGCGATGAGAATGAGGGATTGTGCCGGCCTCGGCGAGGCGGAGAAGGAATGGCGCGTCCGAGGCCTTGCCGGGGTCTCGGACGAGGCGAGAGACCGAGCAAATGGGCTCTCCTGCTGCTTCCGAGGCTACTGAGGACATGGACTCGACCTTCCATACCGCTTTGTCCTTGGCGCGCGGGGTTAGGTAGCACAGGCGATATAAATGTCGGGAGGAGCACAGTGGTGAGTATAGTGGCGGTAACCCCCGCCAGGCTCGGTTCCTATCCTGTCGGTTGTTCTCGCCAAGATTGCACTGCCTGGGTGGCGTTTATGGGAGTGGTTGGGTGCATTTAATCCGGACGTGACGTTTGCCGGAGGAGTTCGGTTGGGACGGAGGTTACTGAAATACGTTCACCGAGCCCGGCCTCGGCGAATCGGAGAATTGGAGATCTGTCCCGAGGCCTTTCGGGGCGAGGTTTTGGCGAGAGGGTCTCGGCGAGAGGGCCTCGGCGGGACGTTTAGGCCTGCTTTCGCATGAGGTTTTCGGCAAGAAGGCCTCGGCTAATCGAAGAATTCTGCCGAGACCTTGTAGTAGTCTTTTGGCTTTGCTTTTAACAAGGCTTAAGCAATATTTTTGGATCTTGCTTAGGGTACCCCTTCTTGTGGTATCCGACAGGAAGCCTTGAAGATTTTAAAAGACAAGCAAGAAGCTTAAGATGTCAAATAAGTGAAACTCAAACAAAAGGACCCTAAGAAATGGTCACACCCCAAAATTTCAATTATAGGTGTTTTCACTAAATTTTAAAAATAATCATTTTTCTAAAACTCACCAAGTTTTAGTTCGTTGCTGTCAATTTAGTTAAAATAGAAATGGCTTTATAATTCTTTTTTCTAAAATAATTTCTCTAGGAATGTTGCATTCATGTTGTATGCATTAGTTTTTTATTATGTGAAAGACGGATTAAAAGTCTGCTTAAACCTTAAATAGTTTTTTCATCAAAAGTCAAGTTTCATTTTTTTTTTCAAAATCTCATTTTAAAAATTCCAAAACGATCGGCTCACCTTTGAGTTCAGACCTGACCCATTTTTCCCCTTTATTGCCATCCTTTTCTTTGTATCTTTCCTCCATTTTCATGGCCAATTCAAACTTTTCTTTTCTTCTCTATACACCTGAACTAGCCCAAATCTTTTCTGTTTTCTCTATACACCCGAACTAGCCCAAGGAAGCAAGTAACTAGATCCTTCACTTCAGCACATAATTTAATGTCTCTCTCGAGATCACATTTTTCTCTATTTCTTTTTCCATGGCTCTCACTTATATTCTCTCTTGAGCAGTTTGGCGTGTAACAAACAATCAATCAAATAAATAAAAAATTTGACCACGATAAACGAATGTGATCGAGGCTTGGCAAGAGTAAAGTCATGGCAAGGCAGGGTCTCCAGTGGCGTAACTTGATTAGCTAGATTAGCTAATTGAGGACTGATGTTTGTTGCACCAATATGAGCACATATTGTACTTATGGGCATGTCAAGCCAAATATCATGTTATAACATTCGCTGCGGCTAAGGGCAAAGGATAGCTAGTAAAGCTACTCCTATACTAACAGGCCATTCATCGAACAACTTAACAAAATGTGAGGCCATTCATCGAATCGAACAACTTTAAAAATGTGAGGAAGGTTAAATTACCCCTTCCAAACCGACAAGTCGTATGGGCGGCGGTGATATAATTCGAATTGCATGCAAGAGTCTCAACTAATGTAAAGGCTAGAGAAATATCTTTAAAAAAAAATTGTTTCCATTTCATCAGCAGGGACTGCAAACTAGCCCTAGTGACTGAGAAACTGTATTTCATCAGCAGGGACCACATCCCAAAGTGAAAAATCATCCTAAAAAATACTCGTTTCCATTTCCCTTAATTTATTACTAGCTAGGAGTACGAAGCTAATCAGATATACCAATACCATCAGAAGTGTCCACTTTCGGCTAGCAACTCGCCTAAAAACTCTGATCATCCTGCAAAACATCCATACCAAGGTGCACAAAATTCATGCTGGGAGAACAAAGGCAGCCTGGTAAATTCTTCTATTCCAGTCTAACTGCTTTGTGTGGAAAAATGTTCCATGTGGTCACGGCAAAAGGGTGGAAAAGAAGAAAATCACTCTGGATTTGCCTGCTTTCTACAAGCTGTCGAGACGGTTCAATCGTTCAATCTGAATCTTGCTCGGGCTGTACTTGTCGGCTTTCATCCTCTCTCTGAACCCATAGGGTGTAACCTGGGCATTGGCATAAGCTGCAAGTAACAAATTATAAGGCAGAGTTCTCGCAGGGTAGCCGGTCTGTTTTAGCCTATTAAATATCTTCTCCGCATTATGGATATCGCCCTTTTCTGCGAATGCCTTCAGTAATATTATGTATGAGCGGAAAAGGGGATATCTGTCAGGATTATCTTCTGTGACATTCACCAGAAACGAGTCGGCCTTTGCCAACTCACCTGAATTCACATAAAGCTTGACAACTGCATCCCAGGTAAGAGGGCCGCTTGGACACCCATCCAAACACATCCTTTCTATAAATTTTTTGCCTTTGTCCAGAAGTTCATTTTCCGCATACACGTACAACATAGCATTAAAGTACTTGGAAGTGAGCTTCGGTGTTGTCTTTACCAACGTGTCAAAGGTCTCTTCCGCTCTTTCGATATGTCCAAGTTTACCCCATGCCTTAATTGCAGCCAAGAAGTCCTCCAACTTCGGTTCAGTGCACAAGTTCCATATTCTCTCTACATCATCTGGCCTTCCAAGAATAGCATAGAGGTCAAGAAGGGACCTGATGGCATGACGATTATCCTTTACATATACCTCCATAGCATTGATAACCTCTTCTGCTTTCTCTGCAAGGTCCCCAGATATGTAGAATTTAGCAACCATAGTCTGGATGCCAAAGTCTGGCTCAAAACCATTTTCTTTCATCATATTTAAGACTGATTCCATGCCTAATGTGTCATTTGATCGCCCTTTCAAGTCAATCATGAGCTTGTAAGTGAATAGAGAAGGCTTTATATTTTCCTTTTCCATCAACGTGAGAATTTCAACCACCTTATTGCGAGAAACCCTCTTGTACAGCAATAACATCTGGTTGCAAGCAGAGATAGTTAAAGGCAAAGAGAGTTCCCTTATTTCATTGAAGACTTGCTCTGCCTTCTGGGCATCATCACGGCACACACAGTTAACAAGCAGAGTTTCATAAAGCACCTCACTCCTGAAGGCTTCTGGGACCCTCTCGATGTACTTTTCAGCAGCTTCAATACCATGGTTCCGTGCTATCAAATCAAGATGGCTAGCATAATCACGTTCTTCAAAATTTAATAGTTTTCTTCTGTCGATCCACTCCATGAACTGCAGATATTCAGAAATAATTACCAAAAAAGTATGTGCATTTGTGCTACCCAGTTCTATAGATTTAAAATATCATAGCATATGCAAAGGTGGAATGTGCCAAAAGAATGTCTAGAGATTAAATACACTGGTGGTCCTTAAACTTGTCCAGGGATATCATATATTTCCCAAACTATTAATTGACAATTTCATGTCCCTCAGCTTGCTGTCCACTCGTTGCCTGCCTGCACACTACTACCCTTGCACAGTACCAGCTCCTAACGTTGAGAATAACGACATACATCTAAATGGCACTTGGGGAAGTTAAAATGTAAACGGATGGCAACAAAGGGAGCATGTAATTTCTGATGGCATAGAAGGGATCGCAATAGGTTTCAATGGCATAGAAGAATTTTCTCAACAGTCTAACCCCTCGCACCCTCCACGTATTTTCCCTTCTTTTTATCATCGCAAAGCAAAAGATAAAAAAATATATACATACAAATCAGATATGCTTGAATTAATGATCAGCTGCTTCCTTTGAAGAATACATAATCACCAAAAGTAAGGAATTAAGGCAATATTGTATTCTACATAAAACTTATGCCAGTGCTTGTCCAACAACTTCGATGTTTAGCAAGCACAAACGAATCATTCCATCTGCGTCAATTCGAATTTCTGGTGGTGCATACTATATGAAAAACATGTTAACACAAAAATTAAAAAATAAAATAAAAATTTGAATGCTAGTTGCCTCTAGCAAACTTAGCTACTCTAATGGATCAGTAACAATGTCCTGATGGATGGCATCTCCAACATGAGAAGGACATGACATCCTTGAGAAGCCTCATCTACATGCACATTTCCCATGAAGCAATCAAAGTACAAGATCATTTGAAAATGTGAATCTCCGCAAATCAAGACAAAATGTTTAATAAGGATTTAAATCGAAACTTGTTACCAATGATAATGATAATTCGTGCTCATAAGCTAATCAAGAAATAAAACCCTTGAGCAAACCGGCATGTTTGTTTAGTTTTTACTGAGTGCCTTAATAGTTTTGTTAGGATAGAAAGATTAGAAACAAGTGCAGCACAGACAACAGCTTGAGAAATTTCGGCTTCCTATGATTCTTAGCAACAAGACAGAAAGTGCAGTTTTATATTCCACTGGACAAACATTCAAGCAGGAAAGTTATGCCATGACTATTAAGTGAAAGATAATAAACACTGGGGGCAGTGGAGAAGTGTTAAATTATGCCAAGAATATTAGGTTAAAGATATTAAACATGGGGCAGTAACAGAAAGTGTAATGCCAGACTAAATGCTGAAGACCACTGGATTACCGCTACTTGTAAACTTAAATGCATTTCATTAAAACATATGCCAAATGGGTCCAACACAGCAGCCATCATAGTTACATAGTTAACGAAACAGGTACCTTCAAAGCCTTGTTATACATTCTCTGCTTCCTCAGATGGAACAAAACCATATTGACTTTCTCTCTTTCCACACGGTTACCAGCTTTCACCCATGCATCAAGTACAGGCACAAGAGAACTCGTAGAAGCATCCAATACAATCTGGAAAAGAAAAGGTTTGAAGGGTGTGTCTGGCAATTTCTTTTCAATGTGACTTCCCTTCTGAAAAGATCCATCCCTGCCTGGCAATTTCGTTCCATGGTGGCTGCCCTTCCGAGAAGATCCACCATCCCTGCCACTTCCTGGCAGTTTCGTTTCATGATGGTGACCCTTCTGAGAAGGTCCATGTCGCTCCTTGGGTCCATAATTCTTGAACCGTTTCATCACTGGCCGGCTGCTATGACTGAGCTCACCACCACGGGGCAGAGTAGTGGCATCCTGATATGAGACCTCGCCATCTCTGATGCTAGTGATCCCCTCAATGGGCGCCGAGTAGAACCTCTGAATCAAAGGGGCAACAGTTTCTGAGTACCCAGACAGCAGTACTTGGGATGGCCGGAAACCGCCATCTCGCAACAATCTCACAGATGCAGTCTTCAACCTGGAAAAAAGAACCAAATGTTGGAAATTCGAGACCAGGGTCCTAAACAAAAATTGCAACAGAAAGAAATGTCACTGATATACAGTCATCATACATTCCCTATCGCTGGCGGGGGATCGATCGGGCACCTTGAGCAGAATGATCTTGAAAGGTCAGGAAGAGGAACCTATTCGAATCACGGATTAAAGATTGAAATTATATTACAAGTCACTGGGTACCGGGCAAGAAAAAAAATCCACAGCTAACTTAATGCTAAGAATCAGATTTGGCAGAACAATCCGCCGGAGCAAGCTGGGCTTACGAAATCGACCCGGTCAGGAATGACCGCCAGTCCACGCGAATACGTACCAGCGGGAGTGGGGAAGAGGAGGAGGGCGACGCCGCAGGACGACGACGCCATACTGGGGCTTGTAGGGTTCTCGAGTTGCCGGCGGAAGGCGCTGGGGCGGAAGAAGTGGGACAGGAAAGGGAGAAAGGGAGTGATGCAGCTTTTCCAGGTTTACCCCTACTAGGGTTTTAGTTTTAGCGTTCTGGACCCCCAAATGACAAAACTGAATGAGTGTGTTTTGTTTTATTTATTTTTTTGCTTTAAAAAAAGAGTGTTTTGTTTTTGGCTTATAATGCTATATACTCGTAATGTCAACTATCAAGATTAGGCCAAGTGCAGGTACAAAAGTAAAAAAAAAAAAGTGAGCAGTCGCAATTAGGCACATCTAAAGTCAGGGCATAACATTGGAATGAAAGTTGGCCAAAAGAAGATGGGAAAATGTTATCAAATGAGATCGGAAGTTCATGCTTAGCCCCAGAACAAAAACATTTTGAAGGAAAAATCATGCAACTTTATTAGCAATTCGGGAGACACGTGTACCCGAAATTTAAAATCATCCTAGAAAATTTGCATGCCTAGATTTATCGCAACATTTTACTAAATCCCTTAAATAAATATATCCCTCGAGTATCCAATCTGTAGGTGACTTCTCCCCCGTTTGGAGTCACGTGTCACATCAGCCTAGTCCAAAATCAAACTTCTCTATGTTTCGAAACGTTTTTAGAAAACTGCATTGAAATCTACAAGTCTATTGATACATAGCACCAACTCATTTCATGCATAATTCCCGGGTAAACACAGACAACACCTGTTCAAACACATTGATCCACACAAAGTCCATGGCCATGCCTCAAAGTATAACGTCTTCAGAGATGTACTACTACCCTCATATGAATCTGCGTTACATCTATCAGGTCAGTCAAAGCACAAGCAAACCAGCACTCTCCCCTTCATCCGCCTCTGCTCTCTTGCGAGTTGTGGTGATTCCGCGGCACCTAAATGTGTGGTTGGCTTCTTGGCATCACAACATCCTCTGATCAGATCCTTGTCCGGAGCACACAAATTTGGTGCAGTATCGGCTTCTTGCAGGTGCATAGCACCAGAGCTTCTATAGCTGTATTTAGGAGGTGAACTGGCTCTTTGCACAGAAGTCGCATGTAATCCACACCAAGGTTGTGTCACAAACCTAGTACACACACCTCATATTCTGGAACGCGAATCTGTGATGCATGTAGAATTGTCAGATTTGTCTCATTTCGTGAACTGCAATGCCTCTAAAGTTGCTAGATTTGCAAGTTCTGAAATTTCACTGAATTTTCCATCCCTCATCAATTGATTGTCAAAAATAGTATCAGATAAGACCACTGCAGATGCCCCTGCTTCCATATAGCCCTTGATTGAACCTGAAATGCACAATGCCACCAGATTGGAAATGCTACACACATCAGTTTCATCCAAGAACCGCTTTGGCGGTTCTGAAAAAGCTGGAAATAATTCCATTGTGTTAACCGAATCAAAACTTTAGATATTGCTTTCAATGCCCTTGCACATTTTATCAGTTGAGCCTTCAAGACATTTTATACTGAACAAAATAACAGGAGGTTATCTGGGCATCATTGACATACAGACACTAAACAAAGCTGCTTACCGATTTTAATTCCTTGAGAAGCAACCATTGGTACAAGAGGAAATGGTTTCTTCAAAGCTGACATGTACGTCTCTCCACCCATCACTGAAACTGGGTACACCTGGTTAAATTAGATCACACAAGCCAATTAATGTCAAGTGACCTAGAAACACAAACTACATTTGATCACTGACTAGGCAATAAAAAATGCACAATAAATTGCTTTGTTCAACATCATCTGAAAAAAAGATCATCTGTACTGGTGTTATGTTAATTTATTTTTCACCAGTCTACAAAGTAAACATGCCTATGAGAACAATGTGTAGTTATGAAACCTTGACAACTTTTGCACCAGCACTGCAAGCAGATAAAACCTGTGAATACCAGAAAGAAAATATGTCAGAACACAAAGATCACATAACTCAGAACTGCTTTAACTGAATATGATGAAAGTTTACACATGTCATGTGATACATACTTCAGTTGGTGTCAACACTCCTGGAATATAAAGAACATTACTTACTTTAAGATCATGAAGTATGTCCTGAAACAAACACAATCTTCATGATTCAATCGGCATCTAATTACAACGGATGATGTTAAAGGAAGAAATGTGCAATAAGATGGCCGCTTACCAGGACTGTGGCAGGACTCATAAGAAATTGTGCACCAGCCCCTATAGCTTTCCTTGCATCAGCAGCGTTTAAGACGGTACCAACCTGAATAGAAGCACAATCAAGGTGAAAAAAAAGATGTACTGCGAGCTACTTGGTAATGTTCTCAAATCTCAACAGTTGAAATTACTGTGATCGTGCAAGTTAAGTATAAAAGCTTGTAACTTTCATTTTTTTGAAACACGTTTGTGCAACACATACACATTGGCTGTGTGAGGCCACAGAGGCCAGAAACCTTTTCCATTGTCTAAAAAAAAAACATATACACATTATAGAGCTTCCTGCGTCAGCCTAACTGATGGGCCTGGTATTTGAGGAGGGAAAAAGTGTATCACATCTTTGAGGTTTGTAAGATGGACTTACTCCGAATGTTAAAGAAGGATAACTCCTGCAAAGATCTTCAATAACCTACAAAAGGAAGACTTATTAATCAGTACAGAAACTAACTAGCAGCATAAAAAAACGCTAGTGCCAAATTTTCAGAGAAGAATGGTGAAAAGTGCGTCACCTCGAGTACTCCAGGAGTCGTCATCACAACCTCCAACTAGACGACACATTGAATACTTGTTAGCAACACTAATCATAGATGCTGATTAAAACAGCACTAACATTCTAGTATACTACGCATCAAGTTTACACATTCCAGGGGAGCAACGAACTCACCACGGTAACGCCGCCGCGGACAGCCGCGTGAGCCGCCTGCAACGCCGTCTCGCCGCTGCAAGGGACCCCAAACCAAGATGGGACATTATATGAGATGGCCAGCGAATCGGTTCCTAGTTTCCGCTTCGGCGAGGACTACCGCCGAACACGTGGCGGTCCTAGAGGGGCTGGCGAGGTCCTTACTCTTGCGCGCGGAGGCACGCGATGACGCGCGAGCGCAGTATGGCGGCGAGGGCCCTCGGGGGTGGCCGCGGCCCGGCGGTGGGCGGCGCCTGGGCGCGCCGTCGCCGGCGTGCTGGGGAGGTGGTGGTGGGGAGGGGAAGCTGGGAGGCGGCAACGCGCATTTTCAGGCGGCGACCAGAGCTTCAGATAAGAGCCACTGCAGAGTGCGGACACTGCTGCTCGCTCAGCTTCAGCGATGCTAGAAAGGAGAGCAAGCTGCAAATATTCTCAGCTTTACGCGGCGTAAAGCGATAGTGTCACACGAGCTCAAACATCAACTCGTGCTGGGCCTGGACTGGGCTTCTAACTCGTCTGAAAGCAAGATTGGAGACTACATACAGTAACAGAAGATGAGCAACGATAGTTACTACTTCGTCCTTTCTAAATCATATTGTTCAATCTAGCTTCATTTTAAGACAAATCTATTTAACTTTGGCCAAGTATATAGAAAGATTCATCTATGATACCAAATTAGCTTAATTTAATTCTTCTTAAAACATGTCTTGATAAAAGGACAGTTATTTATTTCTTCAGAAATTGGACCTGTGCCTCGGCTACCGATACCTTGCGCCCGAAAATAAAACATTGCAATTAAAGGAGATTATATACTGTGGGGTACGACCCCGGATACCCACGACAGACCACATGGGCTGCGCCCCCAGGGGCGGCCCAGCCCACAAGATGAAGCCTTGCGGGGCACGACTCTACTCAGCGCCTCCCGCAAGACACCGGGAAGATATTCTGAAGATACTACGAGATCTGTTAGGATACGTATGATCCCATGATTTCTATAATTTGTTATTACTTTTCGGTTATCTCTCAGATCTAACCGACTTATAACCCTGCACCCCCGGACTATATAAGGCGGGCAGGGACCTCCTCCAAACTCACGCAATATTATACGATAGCCAATACAAACCAACAGACCACATGAGTAGGGTATTACGTCATACTGACGGCCTGAACCTGTCTAACTCGTGTGTCTCTGTTGCCTTCTTGTTCTTGATTACACGCCTATCTGTCGATCAATCTACCTTCGTGGGATACCCCTCGGAGGACTGCCGACGATATTCTGTCGACAGTTGGCGCGCCAGGTAGGGGTGTGCATGCTGTTTCCTTGTCGAACAAGATGGCTTTTTCCGTAGGCTCTTTGCCCCTCCCCCAACCCGGCCAGATCTTCACGGTCGGATGGATCTCGTGGATCATCAATGCTGACGGAGTCGGAGAGCTCCTCGAGCCGGTGCATACCAATTCTGCACCGATCACCCCCGCACCTACGACTGCAGATCCGATCTCGGAACCGCTTCCGAGGCCGCCTTCATCGACAACTCGCTGCCCGCTTCCTCGCTATCAGAGGAGGCAGATCGACAATGACGATCTGATCACATCCATCGATCAGGTTGGTCTGAAGCTCGTCGATTGCCTTTCCATCGCCGAATCGGCTCTGGACACTCTGGTTCAGCGTCGACCACCCTTCGAATCCAGATCTATCGGAGGCTGCTCGGGAAACTCCAGGGGTTACGGCCCTATCCTTCGGGCTCACCAACGTCGCCGCCACCTACCAAGATGCCCTAAGGGGCAAATTTGCCGATCAGGTTGGAGATGTCCATCCTCTCGCCGACCAGCTTCTGTCGACAGTTGGCGCGCCAGGTAGGGGCTGTGTGTGCTGATCCATGGCGAATCAGATGGGATCTGAAGACTTACGTCCTGGCGAGATCAACTTTCATCTTGCCTACGACGACTACACGGAGATTTGTTGTCGATCTCAAGTCACCGTACGAAGACCAACAGCCTAGATCAAAAACTCACCGCCCGTCGGGTGCTCGCCGTCAACGTCGACCAGATAACGCCATACACCGCCGACCAGACTTTCTGTCTAAAGCTAAGTCACGCTTTAATATTCTTCTAAATATTCTCCAATCTCCGTATATCGCCATAATGTTTCTTCGAACTATTTTCTCCATGTTTGCTCTCCAAACGATTTTCTAAACCCCCGAACAGTCATGTTGATGCTCGGATGTCCCCAGAGAGGGCCCTGTCTCCGGCTTCTCCCTACACGTGCACGAGCATCTGCCCTCTGCATTATGGGTGGTCGGCAGTGGCTCCTTAGCAACGCTTTGTTCTTCCTACACGCACACGGGCTCCGCGCTCCATGTTATGGTTAACAGGCAAGCTAGGGCTGGAGACTCAGCTACACACTAACTGTTCGGGCGGTTTATATTAAATATAAATACATCTTCACACCAACTGATCACCGAGCTACATATGCTATTTCATCGCCATTGTTTATTTTTCTTTGGAGTTCATATATTTTTACATCATGTACTACCCATTCTACATATTTGTATTGCAGGATCATCATCTAGGTGATCGGACCACCTGGTGTTCGGACTTCTCCACCGATCAATTGGTCGGACCACTAGGTTCATCGACTTCGTCGCCGACCAGTTGATCGGACTGTTCGCCGGTCGCTTCTACTCAATGCTCACTTCGCCGCCGACCAATTGACCGGACTGTTCATCGCTCGTGCTTCATCGCCATCTACGCCGGGGGCTCCTCTATGCTCGAACATCACCAGATACGCTGGGGACTCCTTGGTGCTCGGACATCGCCAACTACGCTGGGGACTCCTTGGTGCTCGGATTCTTCGTGCTCGGGGACTAAGTGAGCACACTTCACCCCACTTCACCTTGCGGATATCGCCAGCTATGTCGGGGACTCCTTGGTGCTCGGACATCGCCAGCTACGCCGAGGACTCCTCGGTGCTCGGACATCGCCAGCTACGCCGGGGACTGGTCGATGCTCGGACATCGCCAACTACGCCAGGGACTCCTCGGTGCTCGGACTTCGCAGCTACGCCGGGGACTCCTCGGTGCTCGGACATCATCAGCTACGCCGGGGACTCCTCGGTGCTCGGACATCGTCAGCTACGCCAGGAACTCCTCGGTACTCGGACATCGCCAGCTACGCCGAGGACTCCTCGGTGCTCGGACTTCGCTAGCTATGTGTCTCCCTCGGACAAGAAGTTGGACGACGACACCAACGACGGAGTAGGAGGCCGCCAACCACCTAGGGGCAATAACAATGCCTTCCAGGATCACGACAAGGTGGTCGCCACCATCTTCGGGGGCCTCGCCTCCACCGAAAGTAGAAGAGAAAGGAAGCTTGCCGCCTGGCGGGTGCTCGCCGTCACTACAGAAGACGCCGCCACCAACCCCAGTTATCGCCCATGGTCCGAGGTCCCCATTACCTTCAGCAGGGCTGACCAGTGGGCGAACATCCCCTACACAGGGCGTTTCCCCCTCGTCCTCGATGCAACCATCCAGAAGGTGCTTTTCAGAAAAGTGCTCATTAACGGTGGGAGCGCTCTGAATCTCCTCTTCGCCGGAGCCCTAAAGGAGTTGGGCTTCGAGATAATAGATCTTACACCCTTAGACTCCTTCTGGGGTGTGGTACCTGGCAAGGCATCCAAACCGCTTGGAGAGATCACCCTACCAGTATAGTTCGGCACGGCAAGGAACTACCGCGTCGAGCACATCAACTTCTACGTCGCCGACTTCAACACCACCTACCATGCCATACTTGGTCGGCCAGCTCTGGCCAAGTTCATGGCTGTACCGCACTATGCTTATCTGGTGCTGAAGATGTCTTCGCCTGCTGGAGTCCTAGCCCTATGGGCCAACCTCTCCATCGCCTATGCCTGCGAGACAGAGAGTCTCGCCCTCGCCGAAGCCACCGACCTCTCCATCCAGATGGCCAGTGTGGTCACCAACGCCAAGGTGGTGCCCGCCGATGACATGGAGATCCCATTGCTGGAGCCTCCTCGCGCCTCCGCCAAGTCCAAGGAAACTAAGGAGGTTAGCCTCGGCCTCGATGACCCCTCCAAGACCGTGAAGATTGGGGCTCACCTCGACCCCAAATAGGAAAGCGCGCTCGTCTCCTTCCTATGTGCCAACGCTGACGTGTTTGCTTGGAAACCTGTAGACATGCCGAGGGTACCACAGGAGAAGATCGAGCACTCCTTGAATGTCTCGTCGACCGCCAAACCGATCAAGCAAAAACTCCGCCGATTTGCGCCAGACAAGAAGGAGGCTATTAGGGTAGAAATAAAATGGCTCTTAGCGACCGGATTTATAAAAGAAGTGTATCATCCTAAGTGGTTAACAAACCCTGTTCTTGTTCAAAAAAAGAATAAAGAATAGAAAATGTGTGTTGATTACACTGATATTAACAAACACTGCCCTAAAGATCCCTTCGGCCTACCTCGGATAGATGAGGTTGTAGACTCCACCGTCGGCTACGAACTGCTCTCCTTCCTCGACTGTTACTCTGGCTATCACCAAATCTCCCTCAAGGAAGAAGACCAGATCAAGACGTCGTTCATCACGCCCTTCGGTGCGTACTGCTACACCACCATGTCCTTCAGACTCAAGAATGCTGGGGCGACCTATCAAAGGGCCATCCAGATGTGCCTCGATCAACAGATCGTACGCAACATCGAAGCTTACATCAACGATGTGGTCGTTAAGTCTAAGACCGTCGACAATCTTATCGCCGACCTCTAGGAAACGTTCGGCAACCTAAAAAGGTACCGATGGAAGCTGAACCCTTCAAAGTGCATCTTTGGAGTTCCAACCACTATACTCCTAGGCTACATTATCAGCGCACGAGGCATTGGGCTGAACCCTGACAAGGTCTCCGCCATCACCAACATGAAATGGCCAACATGCATAAGGATATACAGAAGCTTACAGGCTGTGTGGCTGCTTTAAGCCGCTTCATATCGCGTCTCGACGAAAAAGGGCTACCTTTCTTCTAACTCCTCAAGGCCTTCGAGCGTTTTTCCTAGTCGGAGGAGGCAGACAAAGCTTTCGAGCAGCTCAAGTTGTTCCTAACAAAGCCTCCGATCATGATGGCGCCACGGCCAGATGAAACTCTACTTATCTACATCGCCGCCACTTCTTGTGTCGTCAGCATAGCTATCATCGTCGAACGCAAGGAGGCCGGGCACGCCTATAAGGTGCAACATCCGGTTTACTTCATTAGTGAGGTCCTCAATGAGCCCAAAACTCGTTATCCACTGGTCCAAAAGCTGTTATACGCCATTCTAATCACGTCGCGC